TATCATACCAGCCTTTCCCTTGCTTAGTTAGAGTTATCACAAGATTTGTTTTTCTTGATTTCTTCCTCAGTCTGTTTGCCATTCATATTGAAGAAAGCTGCTGTTTGGGGCCTACTTTGCTGAAGGTGTTTGTCAGCTATAAAAGTTTCCTTGTGGAGTTTTTAGGATCATTCATATATATAATCATATCACCTGTCCACAGGGTGCTTTGCCTTCTTCTTTTCCTACTTGAATCCCTTTGACCTTCTTCAGGGTCTCACTGCTCCAGTTACAACTTCAAGTGCTAACGATATTGAATAAGTATGGAGAGAGTGGGCATCCTTGTTTTGTTCCTGATTTTAGTAGAAATGCTTTGAACTTCTCTGTTTAAGATGAAGTTGGCCATGGGCTTGCTGTGAATTATCTTTATTAGTTGAGGAATGTCCCTTGTATCCTTAGTTTCTCCAGGACTTTTATCATGAAGGGATACTGGGTTTTGTCAAAGGCCCTTGTTGTGTCTAATGAGATCATCATGTGCTTTGTCTCTTTATGTGGTAGATTACATTTATTTATTTACTTATGTTATACCATCCCTGCACTATCTGGATGAAGCCAACTTACATCTATCCTTTCTGGTGAGATACATCCTTAAGAGCTGAGGTGTGAGCAGTAGTACTTTTTGGAACACATTTACCAGCTCGGAGCTTCCCTTTGAGTGTGTGTGTGTGTGTGTGTGTGTGTGTGTGTGTGTGTGTGTGTGTGTGGTGGTGGTGTTGAGTTGGGAGAGGGAAGGAAGCATACAAGAGGAGGTTTGTCACACACTCGGAACAGCCATCCTCACAAAGTTTTAGGCACTTTGGCATAAATGTTTCTCGAGAACTTCTTTCTCGTTCCAGAGAGCGTAACTATCGAGTTTGGAGAAATCGTTTCCATTAGTTATGCTTGTTTCACTGGGGAGCATGCCGCCCAGGCTCTTCACTCCCATTCCCGGAGTGAGGGCCCTGCCGTGACAGTTTGAATCCTGCTTGCATTGCTGAGTTGTTTGTGCAGCTGTCATAAGTGGTTTACCAGGAGCCTCTGCTGCCGGTGACCCCCTTTCGTGTTTTCAAGGACTTTTCCTTACAGCGTCACTGGCTTTTTGTGTAGTAAATTTTCCCTCCGCTGTTACCTTAGGATGGGAACAACGGGAAAATGGGTGCCCTGTTATTGTTTGTTAACTTGTTGAAATTGCCAAACATTCCATTGAGCAACCTTATTTTTGTTTTGTAAAGGACAAATTTTTTCCAAGTATATGATTGCCTCTGACAGGTGACGTTTTATAAAAGACTACATAGCATGTAGGGACTAAAGATGCTGCTTGGGAAGTACCAAGGAGGAAGGAAATGTTCTTAGTCATCTGTTTCACAAAGAAAGCAGGATTGAAGTATATGGCGAGAAATCCACAGTCTTTTTAAAGGGCAAAGGAATTTATTAAGGGAAAAACTCACTGGACAGCACAGAATAGTCACAGGTTCTAGACTGCTGTTCTGGCCTTCCATATCCCAAACCGCTAGGGAGCGAGAGAACCAGCGTACATGCATCTCAGGTCTTAAGGGTTGCAGAGAGGCCACAACACAGGGACATGTACTTCAAGGTCATAGGCAGGTAGTGCAGTAACCTACTACATCTCTAGGGGTGGTGCTTCAAGGTCATAGACAGAACAGCTATCTACTACAGAACTACCTCAAGGGAGTTAGAGAATATAATAACCACTATTATACTATTACATTAATCCTTGGCCAGCATGATATTTGAGCATACTATATGTTTAAACACATGCTTTGATATTAGCTTGCTGAATTGATAAATACAAGCATCCTTAAAAAACACACACACACACACACACACACACACACACACACACACACACACACGATGAGTTGGGATTCTCCCCTTGCTCATTGGTTGTTTTCTGCCTTCCTGTTCTTGCACTAAATTCTCAAAGTGTAAAAGTAACACCATCCTGAATATAAGCATTTGGCATGCTAAATACTTAATATTTATACTATGTTTTCAGCATTAAAAACACCCCATTCCCCTTTGCCTCTCAAAATAGAAACTATTTTCTTTGTGTATCTGGAATTCAACAAATTAAGAAATGTTGTTAAAAAAAATAAGTATGCATCTTAGGTTTTAACTGTTTGCCACAAATTTCAAGGAACACCAAAGGAGCCCTTCTGTACTAAGAGTCACAGGATTGGAAAGGACTTTAGGTTACTTCTGCATTGCATAAAATACCTTTGTATGCTTTCTTTGACAAATACCAATTCCTACTCTAAATGATAAGGAATGGGGACTCTAGTGGGATTATAACCTTATTTGTGAATGCTGTAAATTTCTAGTCCTTGAAAGTTATTACAAACTATTTAGGATAATAAAGAAATGCAGGTTAGTAGTTAGTCACCTATAACATGCAAACTTGTAGTCCTGTTGGATATGTTTTCAAGGCCAAACAGATATGTTTTACATAGATAGATGGTCTTCAAACACTTCAGAGATCTACAGAATATGGCACTTAAAATGGTTTAATAACAAAGTTTTTCATGACAGTGAGACACGTCTGCTCCTGGCAGCGCCAATTTACTTCAGAGATGATGATGGCCATTGAAGAAACTCCATATGGATTTTGCTTACAGTGTAGCAAAACTAGCCACTTTAGGAATGCTAAAGGTTTTCATACCACCCCTCAAAACACCCCTCAATTCTAGCTTTCTCTCTCTAAATCCCTCTCAAAACACCATCTCCCCTCCCCCCCACCTGATCCTCCTGTTTCTGTCCCTACCCCACACCCAGTCTACCCATAAAATCTATTCTGTTTCCCCTTCCAGAGAGATCCATGTGTCCTCTCCTAGTCCCTTCCTCTAGAGCTAACTTCTCTGTCTATGAATTGTAGTTTGGTTATCATTATTTAATGGCTGATATCCACATATAAGCAAATGCATACCATATTTATCTTTCTGAGTCTGTGTTCCTTCACTCAGGGTGATATTTTTTTCTAGTTTTATCCATTTGCCTGCAAATTTCATGATGTCATTTCTTTTAATGTTTGAATAATACTCCATTGTGTAAATGTACCACATTTTCTTTATCCATTCTTCTGTTGAGGGGCACCTACATTGTTTTCAATGTCCTTATAGGTGCCCTAACTAAGCAGTCTGATCTTTTAGGAGTACCCAATAGTATCTCATGCTCTTATAGAGGTGGATGCAAAAACCACAAACAGTTGTTAACACTGATGAAAATGAAAAGCATGTTTCCAGTCACAATATTGAGGAGGTAACAGCTCCTCCTATGTATGGTTGGATTCTGACTCACCCTTTATGGACTCACTAGTCAATAAAGCAAAGTGGTCAAAAATGACCTGGGAGTCAGCTACACTTGATTTGAATCCTATGTCACTCTGGCTACTAGATTGCAGGCAAGTTTCCTAGGACATATCAGCCTCCGTTTATTTTTCTGTAAAAGCGGATAACAGCAGAAAACAGTGAGTCTAAGTATGTAAATGGAATACATGGAAAGTTAACCAAAAGGAATATGACACATGATGAATACTTACAATGGCTACTGCTGATAACAATGAATACATTTCTGGACAGACTGACCAAGGTGGGGAAAAAATAAAAGGAGAAGTCCTAAGTTGCAAGTATCAAGAAATAAGGACAGGACATAATTGTATACCTTACAGTGAACTAAGAAAAAGGGAACTCTGTTATCAGCTTTATACTATTTATAAAATTGGTGTTATTACGCAATGTTTATCTTAACTAATATGTCACACGAAGTATAAAATTAATTCAAAACTGTTAGATATAAATATAAGATACATTATAACACTATAAAAATAATAGGAGAAGACACAAGAAATGAGAAGTTTTTCTGTTTTCCAGTTCAACACGTAGGGAGAAAAGGCACTACTTTATCTGATGAGTGTAAGGATGAGTAAACTGAAAAATAACCCTTTCTGATCCATCAAAGAAATGAGGACACGGGACAAAACACTGGCTAGAACTGGAGGCAGTCAAGGGGATGCTGAGAATCACAACTTGCCTGGCTGAACCTCTGTCAAACAAATACCCAAAGAAACAAAACCGAAAACCATCAAAGGAATACAAAGTCCTCAACCATAACTGAGGCTTGCTGGAAGCATAAAGTGACAAGTTGGAGTTAGAAGTCATCACAGGTCCCAGCCACAGGGGACACCACACTTGCGTAAGTTTTACCTCTAGAAGATAGAATCTCTCAGTGAAGACAGAAGCCACTTTCTGCTTCCAGCAGCAGAGGAAAGGACTATCTCAAATATGCAAGATTTGCTGTTCTTAACAAGGCCTGTCCTCAGGAGAAAGGATCTTACCAGAGCTCACTCTACCTGGGAGGGGATCTCTGGTTTCAGCTTCCTTCAGCCATCCCATAGCACGCAAGGTGGGAAAGGAGGGAAAGGAAAAGAAAACCCCAAGCTGAGAAGCACTTGTGAAATACACAGACAAGGTACACAGCTCAGTAAAGGGCTTCGGGATGCTCCAGCCTTGCTCCAACTCAACACCACAAGACAAAAGGCCATTCCTTTATTTACCTTTCAACATTACCTTCTATTTACCTTTCAACAACAAACTCTGTCCGAAGTGTGACACAAGGCAGAACCATAATCTGAAGGGACAGAACAATTACCAGATTCAGATTCCTGTTTGGCAGAGACGTTGAAATGATCAGACAGGATTTAAAACAATTACATGATTACCATTTAATACAACTGAACAAACAAATGGAAGATTTTAGAGACTTAGTTGCCACAAAATATTAGCTAAGACATTGGATATTTACAGAACATAAGCACTTCTGAGGTCTTCCAGCACCTAGACACCTGGCTTAGCATCCTGGTGCTGTCCATTTTGAGTACAAATGAGAGCCTTGACTGTTTTTCCCTTTCATTGATATGAGATACACTTTTGAAAATAAAAGTTAATGTAACTTCCTTGTTTTCTCAGGTCTGACCGTAACAGCTGTAAAAGACTCGGGAGAATGGAATTTGGAGGCTGGGGCCTTGGTGCTTGCAGATGCTGGCCTTTGCTGTATTGACGAATTTAACAGCCTCAAAGAGCATGACAGAACCAGTATCCATGAAGCAATGGAGCAACAAACCATAAGTGTCGCTAAGGCTGGGTAAGCATTTCTGTTCTTTAAAGTCTATGGAAGGAGAGAGATTATCCAGTATAAATTCAAGGAAAATGGGAAGCTTGTTGGTACATTCAAGGGGTTATCAATTATCACTCTCCAAGTACAAGGTTTTTCTTACTAGACTGTAGAAGTGAATAAAGTATAAAAGTAGACTTTCTTAGTATACTTTTTTCTATGTTAGAGACACCATGACCAGTGCAGCATTTAACTGAGGGCTTGCTTATAATTTCAGAGGGCTAGCCTGTTATACAGGGAAGCATGGTGCAAGGCAGGCAGGCATGGCGCTGGAGCAGTAGCTAAGAGCTTACATCCTGATCCTCAGGCAGCAGGCAGAGATAGAGAGCAAGACTGGACCTGGAGTGGGCTTTTGAAACCTCAAAGCTCTCCCCTAGTGACACACCTCCCCTATCAAAGCCACATCTCCTGCTCCTTCCTAAACAGTCTACCACCTGGCTTATGGGGCTGTCCTCATTCAAACCACCACATGGACTGACTTAGCTCAGTAGGAGCGATTTATAGCTCTCTTTCAACACAGGACTCAACTTATTCTTTCCATAAAAATGGTGTATGTTCTCAGGGCATATTAATTATTAGGGATTTTGAGAGATTCTTGGAGTGTAATAGAGATAAATGTAGTGAAGTATCTTCTAAGATGATACCTGAAAACCATAAAGCTTTAGAAGACCAGGGAGGCACACTTTGCTTCACCTATCAGAAGGTAATGCTGTTATGATGTATCTTCCCAAACCATTTTTTTTAGGCTCCATGCTGCTCCAGTTAGAATTCTAACTAGAAGTTTCTTTTTATAAGTTGATAAGCTGATTTTAAATTTTACAAAGAAAGACATAGAAACTATACATCAAAACAATTTGGAAAGGATAAATGTGGAAAAGCATATGATCCAGCTCTCCCTTTCTTGGGTATATACTTAGAAGAGTCCTATACAGTGAAGATACTTACACACCCATATTTATTGCTACACTGCTCACAGTCTTTGGAAATGAAAGTCCATCAACAGATGAATGAATGAAGAAAATGTGCTACCATATACACAATGGAATTTTATTTAGCCATAATTTAAAAAGATGAATTATGACATCTACAGGAAAATGAATAGAACTGTAAATTGTTGTGTTAAGCAAAATAAGCCAGACTCAAAGTCCAGTACCACATGCTTTTACTTATGTGGGAAGGGAGGAAGAAATCTTACCAGAGTAGGAAGGGAAAAGATGCGAAATGGAAACCATGGGACATGACAGCAGAGGGGACTATTGGAAAGAAGGAAGTAGACAGCAGAGGGACATGGCAGGGTGATGAGGGAAGGAGACATTTAGTGTGACTGATAGATATGGTTGAAAATAAAGAACCCAATGACTTTGTATGTCAACATAGAACTAATTTTAAAAGAAATTTATGTAAATGAAATAAATATGCTAGAACAATTTGATATCCACATGCAAAAAAGCATTTGTACAAACACGGTTTATAGCAGCTTATATAGACATGATTCCATCCATATATGAAATTCTAGAAAAGGCAAAGTTGAGATCAGGTCAATGTTTGCTGGGGGTTAGGGAAGAGAAATGACCGCAGAAAAACATCTTAAAGGGGTGACATTTTCATATTGTGTAAATTATACCACAGTAATCCTTATTTCTAAAAGCATGGAAACTCAAGAATTTGCCCCCAAATCACTCTGTCAGGTTGCTGCTGAGGTTTCTGAACACTTCCTCTTCCCGATTGGTGTCTGTGTGTGAACAGAGTTCACAGCTTCTCTAGTAAACCTACCTAGAAAAGTACCACATAAGAAGAGATTGAAGGAAGTAATGCGATCTGAGACACTGGGAGACTTACCCACAGTCGCCCTGTTGTAACTGAAATAACGTCTCTGAAGGAAATACTTTGAAGACTAATTTTCAGATTGGATTTCCTTGTCTGAGGAGAAGAAGAGGACTCCCCTTAGAATATTAGAAACTTTCATTGCTACTTCGCGCCAGTTTTTCATTGTTTCTCCTGTAAACTAGAACAGATATCTAACATGTATTACTCAGTTTACCTAAGCAGCAGCTTGAACATTCTGTTTTAATCAATTGTTCACTGGGGCTACTGCGTAGATCACCACACCCTGAGCACAGTGAAGATGGTCATTACAAAAACATTTATTTGTATTATGGTTTAAGGTAAAATCCCCCATGTGTTTCTGACCTATCTTGATTTCTATCCAGTGTTAATACTTCCTTGAATGGAGGCACTCACCACAATTAGTATTTTAGCCTTCTGGTCTTTTTACATTTTCTAAAGAATTTTTACTTTTACAAAGCAAGTTAGCATATCTGTTTTGTTTAAAGAGTATTGTAGCGATTGGAGCAATGGCTCAGTGGTTAAGAACATCCGCTGCTCTTCCAGAGGACCCAGGTGTGATTTCCAGCATCCATGTGGTGACTCACAACTGTCTGTAACTCCAGTCCCAGGGGATCCAAAGTCCTTTTCTGGCCTTCAAGGCATCAGGCACGCAGGTGGTGCAAGGTTGAACATGCAGGCAAAACACCTGTATACATAAAATAATAATGTAAACATTCACAGATTGATGCAGTTTACTATAGTCAAGGAGTAATAGTTCAAGGATCACTGTTCTCTAGTTATTACAGCTACATTGGGTCTTATTCACTCTTCTTGTGTTGATATTGTTTGCGCTCTCCCCCCCCCATAACTATACTTGGATTCATAAATGTGGGGGTCCTAACCATTTCTCTGTGGGAGGCCCAATCCCACTTTTTCCCCAGGGTACTCTTGAGGAGGAAGGAGGGAGAAATATATAGATAGAAGGATAGAGGGGAGAGAGACAAATAAAAACACAGGATAGCCTCCGGAGGACCTGGGTCATTATCCACCGGTCCCTTCTGTTTATGCTAAAGGGCTTTTTCTAAGAATGCCAAGGAGTGGAGCAAAAGACCTCCCCCTAGCACAGCCAAGTGCAGACCCTTCCAAACACCTGGTAACCACACACGTGGTCAAACAATCCCCTAATGCAGCTCTGCTGGGTAAAGCAAGCTCCAATTTCACTAAGAAACCTTTGTGGGCCTCCATACATAAAGACATTTATACTATTTTACTGTTAGCATGTATTTTCAAAGACTCAATTCCTACCATTGCCTAGTATACAATTATGTGTTTTGTATATTTGATTTCTCTATATTGAAAAGGATTCTCTTTCTTTATTGATTTAATGAAGATAATTGTAATCAAATTATGATAGCAAAGCTGGAATTACTGTGTTCTCTGAATTTAGTAACTTTTCCGGTCTATTTTCTGGGATGGAAGGATCCACATGTTAACATGCATCCAAGAGGTAACTGATTTTGATTCTGAGCATTGTGTTTATAGTGCATGATGACCTGGAATTCTCAGCTGGGCTTAATGTTTCTCATACCTCAAATTTTAAATTTTATTGAAAAACAGAACAGTCATTACAGTGAGGGTTTAATCGCTTCACATTTTCCTTACAAAGGAATGGCTTGAAATTAAAACTCCCAAGCAGAACAGATGCTTCCAAGAGGCCAAACACCTTTCCTCCCATGTGATTTTTTTTTTCTTTAGTGATTTTCTGTAAAATCACTTTCTCTCTCATCACTCAGAAGCAAACAGTATTCAACATGGACAACAGCAGTGGGTAACCTTATTTAAAATAAAGCACACCTGAATTGTAGATACAGTATAGAAAGTCACAATGGTTATTGTAGAGAGTAAAAGTTCCTATCTCAAAGACAGCTGGCATCAATGGTAACCTAATGGTTTTGACCTTGTGGGACAGGCCTGTCTGTCTTTAGTCTCTGTAAATAAATGCCACGGCCCTTGCTTCCACGATCTTCTTTTGTTGTTATTTTTTCATTCTTTTTTTTTTTTTCAAGATAGAGTTTTCTGTGTAGCCCTGGCTGTCCTGGAACTTGCTCCATAAACCAGGCTGGCCTCGAGAACTCAGAGACCCACCTGCCTCTGCCTCCCGAGTGCTGGGGTTAAAGGTGTGCACCACCGCTGTCGGCTGTTGTTATTTTTTTTTTAACATTTTGTGAATAATAGAATTATGACATTTCCCTCTCCCCTTTCTTTCCTGCAAACCCACTCATGTACGTCCACACTCCTGTTCTCTCCCAAATTCATGTCCTCGTTTTTTTCATTAATTGTTGTTATACACACACACACATACCACCACCACCACCGCCACACATACACACCCACCTAAATACATACATACAGTCTGCTCAATCTGTATGTTATTTCTGTATATGTTTTCAGGGTGACGATTTGATATTAGATAACTAATCGTGTGCTGTTCCCTGGAGAAAAACAATATGCCCTGCTCTCAGCACTCCCTGGTCGCCGACAGTGCTTTGTCGAGGGTTGAGGCCTCCTGAGCGTTTCCCTTTCCACGTTAGCAAGTCTGTTGATGCCATCCTTGTTCCTGTCATGTTTAGGCAGCCATGTTGGTGTAGCTGCTTCTGACACCAACTTCTCCTGAACTTGAGGTATGCATGTGTCTACTTTCTGGCTCAGTGCCTGCCATATGGTCAATGGATAGAAGTGACAGCCACTGGGGTATCCTGTTTTATTCCTAAATATGACTGCATACACACAACACAAAACTTACCATCTCAACCATCTTTAGGTGTATAGCTTATTCATGCTACGTGCCCTCCCATACTTAGGCACTGCTTTGACTTCTAGCCAATATGCTCTTGTTCTAGAAGGGAGGCTACTTAAGGACTCTTCAAAATTATTTTAAGTGTATATGTGAAGATGTTTACAGTTTTCTCCATATTTCTGCACTCAGTTGAGTCTCCAAAATACCTTCATAGTAATTGCATCAACACCATTATACTAATACATGAAGAAAAATTATATTCAGGCTTTCTTTGAAGTACTTTTATACTTCAGATCGATTCTGCCAAGGGTATATATATTGGTAGAGTTTGTATAGGCAGTGTGTC